ATAACTATTGCACTGTGTTGTACAGCTGAAACTAATTCTAAAAAAATGTGTATTTCACAATAAAAAATAAAAATAAGAGGAAGGCAAAAAAAAAAGGTGGAATCTCAAAGTATTTTTGGACCAGAGGACCTTTTGAGGTTATTACTTAATCCCACAGCCAAGAGGTTATTAGGGCAGCCTATGCCCACAATTTCAAGCAGAACAGGTTCTACTGACATTCTTATAATAAACATGGATTGAATGTCTACATAAAGCAACTCAGGCTCAAGAAGTTCATAGTTTAATAAGGTGCTCCCAGGCTAACATTTCTTATCTGCTGCTGTTCACGTCAACACCTAGAACAGTAGGCACTCAATAAATATTAATTGAATGTATAAGTCTCCACAAGGGCCTGTCCTTTTGAGATAAAACTGTTATGAATATCTTTAGTTCAGATGGCTGATCATAGTATTTTTGCAGATTGTCCAGAATCCTATCATCTTCTCTTCTTTAGGCAGAACTTCAGCATGTCTTCCCAGAGTTACTTCTTATCCACATTGATTGCCAAGCTGTATTCAGCATGCTTTACATCCAGCAGCTGGGGTAAACTACTGTATGTATAGCAGAGGAACCTGTATTATAGAATGCATGTGTTTCTGGGTATCCCTGCATTGCTATTTCATAAAAGTATGGCTTGTAGATGACAATGGGAAAAATACGGAAGAAACTAGATGTACAATTTATGCAAATGCAAATAAATTATCACTTGGAAGTTTCAATAAGCTTTAAAATGGAGATTGATACAATGTTAGTGATATACTTCCCCCAACACAGGTGTCTTGTGATTCCATTTTCTATTTCTACTTTTATGGACCTTTTGACCCTCTCTACTATGCTGTCTGGGAAATGGGAATGTTTGCTTATTTTATAAGTCAATTTGAAATGAGTTTTTACCTCTGTATTTTGGAAAAGTCACAACCAGACCATTCCACAGCTACTATTCATTTAAAATTTTATAAATTCAGATCAATAGTTCAAACTAGGAGGCATGGCTAACAAATAGGAAGGTCCTACTACAATCTAAACTGAATATAATCCCTCTATCCCCACGCTTCATCAGTATACTCTGCATAACTGCCCAGCAGCTAAAGCAACGGATGTTATAGCTAGATACATCAACTCTACAAATCTTAATCATTTCCAAAATTAAATACTAACACATGCCTGACCCAGGGAAAAGACTTAATCAGGGAGAATGCTAACGTTATATCTAAAGGGTTATCAGATAAAGCTGTAGAAATAGCAAGAGGGAGGGTGGACTATACTTATTAGTTATAAATTTTATGTTAGAGAAAGAAGTACAGCAATGGGAGAAATGAGATCCTTTCAATCAGGGCTGTCTACCACTTACCTTGAACTAGATGCTTGGGTACTACACCAAGCACATTTCAGAACAGACAGTAAGGTCTTTCATTTCCAGAACGCCCCTGAAGAAACAGACCAGGCTACTATTTTCCATTTCTTAGGGGATTTGAAGAAACTCAAAGACTCACTGTGTCTTTGAGGGCAGTCAATGGACAGCTACTCCTCTGTATATCCGTGAAAAGCTCCCTACCAGTGAATCCCTCTCTTCTACATACCAGAATTCTAAACCCTGCTCAATATATAAGAGGTATAATTTTTCAAGGTCTCACACAAACAGGATCTTCAGAAGCACCCAAGAAAGGCCTTCACTGACATGAAATAAATCAATTACATGGTGTGGCGGCCAACAATGGATTCCAGGACAGCCCATACAGATGTCCCGATAGAATGTCTCAGGATTTCGTCCTCAAAAGGGCTTTCTGGCTTCGTTTTCTCTTTAGTTTGTTAGGAAGGGCGGCCAGTGCCGTGAGGAAAGCAAGAGACCCCAGGTGAGCAGACTTGACACAAACAAAAGACTAAACTCTGAGACTAAAATGGGGTCCCTAACCAGAGGACTGCTTCCTTCGGTGGACCTTCGGCTTTCTCAGGCGCCGGGGGGTGGGGGGTGGGGGGAATCTCATTTATTTCAAGTCAGAAAGTGGGGAAAAGAAGAAAGAGATGCGGCTGGAAGGCTCACGAGTCTTGAATGAAAAGCCCAACCTATCCCATCCGCAAGGCAGCAGATCCAAAAGGCGATTCCCGCCCAGAGCCCAAAACAGGAGACGAGGTTCGTGAGACTGGAAGCCCGGGACCGAAGGCAGGGAGCGACCCGGAGCACTGCGCACTCCTGGCTCCGCTCCCTCCACAAGCCGCCGGGATCCTAGAGCATCCCGACACGGCGGAGGGGCCGGCCCGGGAAAAGTGCTTACCCACTTCCAAGCTCCGAGCGCGGCTTCCGCTCCAATCCCGGCTCGGACAGCTCCTCCCTCTGGGCCGCACAGCCGCCGCTCCGCCAGATCTCCTCTCACCGCACCCCGAGTCCCGGGCCCGGGCCCGTATTTAAAGACTTCTGCCTGAGAAGGCGGAGGCTTCATTCCCCCGTAGCCAGACCCTCCCGGACTCTGCCCTGTGCCGCAACCCTGATCCCCCTCCCGCCACACTAGGCCCAGGGCCCGCCCCTATTTCCTACAGGGTCCAGCAGCGGGATGGCGGGGGCGCGGCTCGCTCTGGCTGGGGGGCGGCCCCGCCCCTGGCCGAGCCTGGGCGAATCCGCTCTGGCCAGATCAGCGGCCCCGCCCCTGCCGTGAGGCGCGCTGGGCGGAGCTGCGAGCGTAGCTGGTCCGTGTCGCCCCGGGGTGGGATGCCAGGCGCCTCACGTCTGCGGCAGTCGGAGGCACGGTCTTGTCTGGCCTCGCTTCTCTCCCGGTATCCTGTTCCTGACTGACAGTCGGCGTTCAGGTGGTGCCGCGTGCGCGCCAAGTCAGCCATACTCTGGGGCTGCGGGGGTACTGGGCGGGCTGCGGCCCAAGGGGACCGGAAGGTCCCGGCCCTCTTTCCGGTCTCCCCAACAGCCTGGAGGGTTGGCTTTTGTTTTGTCCCAATAGACCCTGCAGGTCAGACCCTGCCAGCTTCTTACTCCGCTCCCACACCCTCCAGGCCCCTGGGTCCGCCGCACCCTCCGGGCCTGCGGCCTAAGGTTTAGTCAGATCCCTTGGGACCCGCCGCTTCTGGGAAAGAAGTGCCTCACGTCTGGAGGATGCTCAGTCCCGTCATGACTGGACCGGTTACGGCCCCCGCCCTGATCCCTGGGAGGAGAAGCGGGACACCCACGCCCTCCAGAAATGTTTTCCAGAGATGGTACTTCTGCCAAATTCGGGATGTGAGGTGTCCGTGCATGATTTAGAGTATGCAACATGTAAGTGTTGTATATGAGGAAGGCTAAAATTAACATATAGAGCCTATCCACTTTTAATATGGAGGACAGTTCGTTCCTCTTTCTCCACGCAAAGGTCATCTTAAATCGAAGGAGAAAAAGCAGTCATGATTTGGTTTCCCTCATTAAATTAAGAATTACATGAGGTGACATAATCTGTACTTGAAGTCAAAGACCATTTTTAAATGCGTCATGAGGAAAGGGATGAGTTTATAAAGACACATTAAAATACCACATAGATGATGGTTTTCTTGGTAGGATCATGATGACGTTTAAAAAGCTGTTGAGTGTTGATTAAATACAATTTTCTGTGACTTAGAAAGTGTGATAGGCTATATAAACGTTGTACATTCTGTGCAGTTAAATTCATCCATCAAATATTTAGTGTGTTAGACATTATCCTAGAGACCAAAGATGCAAAATGAATCAAAACCCAATTCCTTCTTCCAAACTCACAGGCTAGTAGAGAAAAATGAATAAGTAATTGCAATGCATGTGGTTAATACTATAATAGAGGTATCTTTTCTTTTTTTTAAGATTTTTATTGGGGAATTGGGGGAATGGGAACAGTGCTGGGGAATTAGGGGAAGGGGAACAGACAAGTTGCTGTCNCAAGTTTTGAAATATTTCCCTGTTGGTCTTTAAAAGCGTAATATCTTGAACTCATTTTATAATAATATAATAAAAATGGGACAGCCAGCTTAATAAAATAGCTAAAGCATATTTTCTTAACCATAAAATTGTAAATTCTCTAAATTCACATAAATTTTCAAATTCCAATTAAAAATTTTTGTGATACTAAACATTAAATATGAAAGACACCATTTATCCATCTAAGGAATACCTGATATAAATACAATAATAAAAAAACATAAGACTTACATGAATTATTATAAACATCCATTTTTATTTTATTTCTACAGAATGCCACTTTTAAATTTTACTATTATAATATAACCATAATAACAGACAAAATTAGAAAGTAGAAAAGAGAAAAAATTACCCACAATCATACTGCATTAATACAACCATTATTAATATTCCAATATACTTCTTACCAGTCATTTTCCCTGGTCATACTTGACATAATTGTAATAATAATGTCCTTAACATTGTGTTATCTAAATTTTTCATTTAATTTCTGATCAGTTGCAGTCATAAACTTTTATATCAATAGAAAATTACTTAACAAAAACAGTAAGAAGACAAAGAGCATAAGAAATAAAGAGTTGTTTAATATGATTTACCTCATAAATAGGAAGTGTAGGAGAGTTCCATGCACTGATTCTTGATTCATTGACATCAACAACAGTTACCCTGATTTCAGGGCACATCTGAGCTATGACACTACATGTGGGTCCGCCTACATAGCCTGCACCGATGCAACAGATCTTCTTAATTTCAAACATCATTGTACTAAAAGGGAAACAGTAAGACTGTTTTACTATTGAAAACAGAAAATTTAAAGAAATCACATTGCACATTTATCACACTTTATAAAAACTGTCAAGGTGACAGATATCTGGAAAGATTACCTACATTCACACTCATTAAGAACTATGAAAATAGTGATAAAAAATAACATTCCAATTGAATGACCTAGCCTGCTCTCAGCGGCACTGGCATGAAACATATGGAAAAAATTATAGGAACTGATATTACTGGAGAAGAGCCACAAAGATTATAATGACCCAATATTTAGAAAATTAAGAAGCAAAATAAAACCTTACCTTGGCCTCTAATACACTAGGGCAACTTTGACTGCTAAGGGCAAGTTCAAAGGTGAACACACTAGTGTAATTCTTGCTTAAACAAATGCTGGTATACAAAGGTCAGCTTGAGACAGGTTTAGACTAACATAACAGATATTAAGATTAGTTCCATAGTCCAGAATTGACTCTGAGATTATATTCCCTACCCAATTCGACTTGTGTTTATTTTTAGGTATTTGACAATGATCTTAAACTCTACTTCAAATTGAATCTGAAACCATGAGATAAAGGGAAGTAGTTACCAAAGCTGTAACACAGATTTTGATATGTTTTCAAAAGTCATTAGGTAAACCGATTCATACTAATCAAAATTACAAAGGGCTGATTTGTACATAAAAATGTTGAGTTTACTCATTATGAGAATAAAAATTCTCAAACTGATCAAGTTCTTAGAATTTTAGTCCTGGCCAAATACTCAGGCATCTTCTAATTCGTGGATTCCAAAGAAAGGAAAAATGGTAGTAAGAGAGTTTAAGAATTGGTTAGTATGTTGCTGCATGGAACAGAGAAAACAGTCCAAAAGGCTGATCGAATTACAATGCTTGGCAAGTATATTCCATTATGAAAAAAGATACACAGGGCCGGCCGAGTGGCACGTTGGTTAAGAGCTGGCTTGGGATGCCAGAGGGCCCTGGTTCGGATCCCACATGACAGCTAGTGACACTGCCCTCTACAGCTAAGATGCTGAACAACAGCTCAACCTGGAGCTGGGCTGCCCTGAGTCACCGTCGATGGCATAGGCTGCAGTCCCTGCTGCAGTGGGTTGCCATGAGCTGCCGTGTGTAGCCAGCAGCCAGCGTGAGCAGCCAGCAGCCACCGTGAGTGGCCGTCCAGAAGCTGCTGACTGATCTGCCTCACCCAGGAAGAGCGCAATGATGGTGCCAACTTGGGCCAGTGAAGCAACGTCCTCCACAACTAGACTGAAGAACAAAAGGACA